TTGTGAAAGCCCAGAGAGCACTTGGTGCATTTTCATGGGGAAACGCCACGTGGTCATTCGGGAAGGCCTCCTCCGTCTGCCTCATCGGCCTTCGGCGTTAGCACGTCCACCAGCGAACACTCGTAGGACAGTAAGAGGTGAGCTGGAACCGCTCGCTGCACAGGGCAGATGAGCCCTGGTCCCGGGCTGGAGGACATTAACGGCCTCTTCCAAAGCTCCTGGGTCCTGTCCACCGCTGCTTGGCCCAGACTGTTCTGCCCGTCGTTAGGGAACCGGGGAAGACACTTCCATCGTGTGCACACACGCATGTGTGTGTGCGTGTGTGTGAATCAGCACGGCCTGGCTTTGGCTAGCTGCAGGGCTAGGGGCTTAAAGGCCTGACACTGGGCATGCCCGATGCTCGTCCTCCACGTGTGACCACTCTGAATCCAGTCTCTCCTGAGTTTCCTGTCCACTGTCACGTGCCCAGTAAGGCAGTGGCTCCGCTGTCAGTCCATGCGGTGACGGAGGGCCGTGGGTAGAAAGCCAGAGAGTCATCTGTCCACTCTGGCCCCAATTTCTCTGTCTCTAAAACAAGGATGCTCGACCAGACACACTTCTGGGTCCCTGTTAACCAGGAGTTCTTAGCCATCTTTGCGCTGTGGACCCTTCTCAGAATAAGCTTTGAAGCATTAATAAAACGCACAGGATGACAAAGTCAGCTCCCCGTCTGTGGCCCCCAGGGGAAGAGACGGCTCTGTGCTTTAACGTGAGGTGCTAAGGTCACGCAACTAGGTCCCTCCAGGACGCAGGAGTGGCTGGGCGCGAGCTGCAGCGTGAAGGAAACGCACACCCTGATTCAATCCTTCGCCACCCTCCCCGCCCCAGATGCCAGCCGTGTGCTTCTGGGGACGTCGCTCGGCGTTGCTGAACCTCAGTTTCCTCAGCCATGAGGTGGGAACAGTAACTTTAACCTCTCAGGGTCAGGGAGGGTTCCCAGAGGCACCCCGTAACGGAAGGCTGCCTTCCTCTGTTTCATAGAGAAGAAGGCTTAGCCGCAGACACTCGGAGCGCCTCGCTGACAATCACTTAGTGTTTAGAAACAGAGCGGGCTTGGGCTGCATGTGTTCTCAAGGGTTCACCCAGGGCCCCTCTGGGAGGCATGGGTGGGGGGCCCCACCCAGGCCGCCCATGCAGGCCGTCCTCCTGCCATCTGCAGCGCCACCTAGTGGAGGCCGGCTGTTTTCCCTCCAGCTCCCCCGTGACATGCCTGGTCTCTAACTTCTTCAGCAATCAAAGTCGACAAAACATTCTACAAGACCCAGGAGGGCAATCCTAGG